TGAACCTATTGCTTGCCATTCCTTTCAAATAAAAGAAACTGATTGTTGAAGCTAGATAATCCCCACCTCTCCTCTTTGCACCAATAGGATTCTGGATGTATCTCTATTAGATTTACCATGTTGATACGGTTGTTGATTTGCTTGTTTGTATTTTTTACTAGTGTGTAACTGTACTGGTTTGCTTGGGCTGCCTTAACAAAGTACCACAGATGGGGTGGCTTAAACAACAGGAATTAATTTTTTCACAATTTTGGAAGTTAAAAGTTGAAGATCAAGGTGTCGGCAGGGTTAACGTCTTCTAAGGCCTCTCTCCTTAGCTTGTAGATGGCCATCTATGTGTGTCTGTATCCTAATCTCCTCCTTCTTATAAGGACATCAGTCATATGGATTAGGGTCTACCCTAATGACTTCATTTTACCTCTTTAAAGACCCTATCCCCAAATATAGTCACATTCTGAGGTTCTGGGGGTTAGGACTTCAACCCTATTCAAATTCATTATGAATTTCAGGGGGCCACAATTCAGTCCATAATAGGGAATAAAGGAAGGGAGTGTGTCTTTGATTTCTATATCAGTGGTGCCTAAAGGGAGTGGCACACAAAATACTCAATGAATGTTGCTGATAAAATGACTATATTTCTACATTAGATGAGAAACTGAACCTAGGTCTTCTATATGAGTCTAAGAACGTGTGTATGTGGTACAAAGTCATTTTGGTGGGAGGTAAGAACTTTTAACTGTTCAACATACCTATTATTTACTTTCTTCTTTCTTGCTTATACATTCAAACATTATGAAGAAAAGTACATTGGCACACTCTTAAGTTAAGGTAGGTCTGCTTAAGTTCGTTTTTTTCCTGATTCAATACAGTAGCATATATGATTATATGTATATATGTTCATAAGTTATGTATATTATACATATTAATATATCTTGGTGTCTATTTTCTTAATACAAAATTAGAACCATGCTTTATTTAGAGTTCTGTATTTCTTTTTTCATCCTAATATAATCCTATAAACATTTTCCTAAATAGTGGTAGTTAAAAGCATGAATAAAATTTAAAGTTAGACAGATCTGGGCTCAAATTCAGGTTCTCTCATTTACAAATGTAACTTCAAGCAAATACGTAGCTTCTCTGTCCTCAATTTTCTCATCCATGAAAGTAAGGCAATAACAGTAATGGTCTCACAGAGTTGTTATGAGAATTTAATGAGAACTCAGGTAAAATTTTTAGCGTAACATTCGGCATATGCTAAGAACACATTAAACTATTATTATTATTATTATTATCATCATCTGAAAACAGGATCTTAATGGCACTGTAATATTACATCTTACGGATGCTGAAGATTTGTGTTCATTCTCATTTTTCACTACAGTAAATCTGAAACCTTGGTCTATGTCTTGCTCATAAATCTTGCTCTGTGTCTGGCTGTTTCCTTAAATTTAGGCGCTAACACATTAAGCCAAGAAACCTTTTATTTTCAAGTAAAATCTTAACCAGAAGGGAAAATAAAACCTATTAATAAAAGAGTGCTCAGAGATTGAAATGGATAGTGAGACAGGCAAAAAACTCCGTGGGCCTCTGCTTGGGGTAACCGAGATGGCTCTGCTTATGAGCAAAGTTTGAAAATCACTGAGCAAGAAACAAATCAATAATGTTAAAATTCCCTCTTACTGCATTAAACAATGGGTTGACTGAATGTGATTGCTCTGGGCAATCACAGAACAGTACTGGGGCAAAGACAGAACAATAGGATTGTGGCTAATTTTTTTAAGCATTCCATATTTAAGAAGAAATTCAAGCACCATAAATCCCTTACTTATTTCCCAAAGATGATAAGAAGCTAAATGTGAATGGTCCATTTAACTCCGAGTAATACAAGTGGTCAATAGATTTTAATGCCACTAGATGTAACAGTCAAGAAATAAGATAGAGTTTTCATAAGACCATTCTATGAGGGAAACTAAAATGTGGTTTTGGCTACATTAGCCTGATTTTCTGTTTTCCTTTATACCAGCCAACTGTCACTCTATTCATGAGTATAAGGGTCGAAGGAATGGTACTTCTATCATAAATGGACTGGAAATGTTCCACAGCAAACTTAAAGCTTCAGTAAAATCTCCTAAAATGTAACTCCCTATCCATCTGTAAAGGCAACTAATCAAAGTAATGCCTAAATAATATTATTTAGGCAAAACATCCATAATCTTTTCGAGATTCAAATAAACCAAAAATTTTTAAACATTAGATCCAAATAAAATGATGTATGGAATTTTAAGCTAAATATGTTCCATAAGAGATAACTAGTTCAGTACTAACATTCAGTGATTCAGGTTTCTGAGGTTTTCCAAAAACAATTAACTTTGATAAACAAAACAAAACAAAATCCACCGAAGTGGATTTCCATTATTAATATATTTTCTTTAAAAATGTTTTTGAAAATTTGAAATATTTATAAAATAAATACAAAATAAAACAATATAAATTATAAACAAATAATATAAACTATACTGTGGAAAACAATATAAATCATGAAAGAATCTTAAACTTCTCAGAGTCTGCCAGGTTTTAGTATTCTATATTGAACGATCAAGCCTGCAACTGCAGCTTGTTTTTAAAACAGGTGTCCAAGAGAATGTCACCTGATCTAATGCCTCTTTGCTTTGGTAAGTGATACTGACACCAAGGCCAAGAACTAGAATTATACTTTGACTAGGTCTGTGAACTGACCACAATCTATTCAAGCTGCTGTAGCACTTGAGCACCAAGCAAATGTGCTAGGTTAATTACTGTTATATGATCTTGACATGAACTAATCCCCATTCCTATTAACTTCCCTAGGAAATGAAGCTTTAATGCTTAACTGATAACAAGTGCTGGTATAATCCAGAGCAATAGCAAATTTAACAGATGAGGGAGCAATAAGCGATGGCCATTCATACTGTTAACATAATATGTATTTATTTCACATGGCAAGAAGGTTGTGCATTAAAATTACATCTTGGTTTAGCATTAAAACTGAAACCAAGGCAGATATTGGTGCGGAATGTAATTTCTATTTTGATCCTCATATTTTCTACATACTATGTTTTTCAGATGTGCTAGTAGTGGTGATTACAGGATGTTACAGAGTTTGATAATCAGGCAACATGAAATCAGCAACTGATAAGGTCTGACACTTTGTTAACCCATCCAGTCATTACTTGCTTACAACAGCACACAAACAGCAGCTGCGACTCCTGTCTCCATAAAGGGGGTTTTCATCCAGAATATCGTATCCCCAAATACCAGTTTAGGTAACCAAAATGCCCTAACTCACAGAAACAAGTCAGATACGTCAGAACTTATTTTTATTTTATTAATATTAAACCTAAGAATATAACAAGTAAATACAGTTAGTAGTTAAAAACATTGTTTCGCTTTGGGGACAAAGCAGTACCACATTAGATTTTGTAACAGTTTAAATATTTCTGTAAGGCAGTAACCTTATAGTAGTACTGTCAGGAAAATGACTCTAACCAAATTGATATTATGGCCTTAACGATGAGCGGGTCTGGAGTCACATATGATCTGCTCAGGTCACATGGTCACTGAATGCCTTCTGTGTGTTGGACATTGTGCTAGACTTTGGAAACCTCTACTGACTCTCTCCTTCTCCCCATAACCACCATTATGACCACCACTGCCACTGGTTAATTCTTATTAAACAGGTACTCACTGAAGAAAACACAATATAAGTGAAAAATAACAGCTTACAAAATACTATATTATGATTCCATTTCTATAAAACAACATCTGTCCTTATGTGTGTGTTTTAAAAGTGTGAACTAAAATACTAATAGTAGTTATCTTGGGAGGTGAAATTATGTATGAACTTTTATTTTTGCTTTCTGTTTTTCTATATTTTTGAAATGTCACAACGGACATAGACTACTTTTAAAATACAAAAGCTATTTTATTTTTAATTGCATACTGTGTGCTGTGTTCTTGACACATTTATTATTTAATAGTGGTTAAGAAGAAGAATATTTATGTTTAAATAAAGTAATGAGGCTTCTTTGTCTCCATTTTAACTAGAAACATTATCCTATGCAAAAATTATGTAAGAGGCGTGGAAAATGCTAGTAAGTCTTAACCTGATTCAACTTTAGAGAAGCCATTGTTTCAATTATTTCAAAAGAGGATAACTGAAAACTGAGGAGAGAGCTTGAGCAGTCATTTCAGCCGATCATTTGTTACCGCCCACAAGGCCACTTACCAAGAGGCTACAAGGTCCACTGGTAGGACCCCTGCAGTCGACATTCACACCTCTACCTCATAACATTGTGAAAGCCACTTGTTAAGAAATGCTCAGAGATGTAATAGGTGCCAGTAGAGTATGTTCATCTAAGATCTCTGGGCCTTTTTTCCTTCTTGGAATTTAAGAGACAATAAAATAGGTTTGGATAAAAAATATTTTCAAGAAGCAGGTTACGACCTAATCTAAAATTTAAAGCATTTATGAATAGATCTGAAGGTAATTATATCTTTCAGTGCTTAGGTATTTGAAAATCCAATTTCTTTTCTCTAGGGCTCAAAGTTCTTTATTTTATGTCTCTAGTTATTTTTCATCTAAACGAAAGTCCTCACTTTTATAATTTGTAAAATAATGAAGTTCGGATAAACCATCTTCAGGGTCCCTTCAAGTCTTAAAATTTTATTATTCTCTGAAAGGCTAGATTAATCATTGTCTTTCCTGAGTTCTGATAGGAATTAATAACTGACAAAATTGGTATTTTCAGTTTTATTTTCACGGAGCCCAGAACTACTTTTCATTAAAATAGATTCTAACAAATATATATATTCATATTCACCTACTTCAGTAATAACTATTACATAGAAATATGGCAAGAATATTTTCACTAATAAAATTTCAAACGTTTCAGAATATTAAAAAAAAAAGTCAACATTGGTATTAAGTACTTTCAAGAAAACTTCAAAAACAACCAACCAACCTGATGACCTGGTTACAGTGGGCACACATTGGAGTTCGCTTCCCTGCTGGAATGTGCTCAGCTCTCTGCACTAAAGTGTCCTGGTCACTTGGCGGGGGCGGCCCCCCGGCCGAGCTGGCTGGTGCTGCTGCTCTTGGGGAAGTGGCACTGTTTGAGACTCTTCCAGTGGAAGCTGCTGGGGGTTAAAACACAGAAGAATCAGAAGGAGAATAAACCAAATATAAACTTTTTCTAATAATCTTACTTTAATAAATAATCTATTCACTTGCTTATATACTCACTCACATTTATGGAGAGATTATGTACCAAACCCTGGACCGTGACTACAGAAATAAACAGAAAAGAAAATCCAGGATTACAACACCGGGAAAAGAGTTACGACAGATGACTGCACAGAGTGCAGCAGGAAAAGCACAGTCACCTCTGCTTCCAAGAGGAGATATGGTTAAGGTGAGTATCGACAGTGATGTCTTTCTAGTCATCTAGACATCTCTGCTAACCATTAATTAGATTTAACTCCAGATATATAAAATCTCTAAGTGTTGAAGATAAAAACAAAAGTGAACTCACTGTACTCCTCTCTCTTCCTGTATTCTCTAAGCAGACTGTGAAATCAGTCACCCGGTCATATAAGGTAGCTACAGAACAATCATCGTGCGGCCTTCCTCTCCCTCCTCTGCAGTTTCAAGGGATCCTGCTGATTTTATATCACAAATAGTTCTTTATTCTGCCCCTCATCTCCATTCCTACAATACTGTCCTGGTTTAGATCCTCAATATCTCCCACCCGGACTAGCCACCAAAATGTCTTGTCCTCCTTAAACTCATCCTCCCAACTGTCACCTAGGACTGAAATCTTACCCCATCACAAGTCTGCATAAACCATTTCAAGGATCTCCTTGTTCTTTAACACTGAATGTAGTCCACGCTTCTAAGCACTGCATACAGGTCCCTGCAGTGGTCTCCGCCTGCCCCACAGCTTCACTGTTCACCATTCTCTGCCTTTCTCTGCTCGTTACAGCAATATCAAACTGCCTCACTTTTTCCTGTGAATGGGTCCTTCTATGCACAGGCTGTCTTCACTGTCATTTCTCTACCCTTCTTCCTATTTACCTAGTAACCACGACTTACTGTTTATGATTCAGCCCAGAAGTCAACTGCTCCAAAAATCCTCCCTAAACTGCCTTTCCCCACTGTACCCTCCACATAATCTAGATTAAATGTTTCTCTTCCATGTACTCATAATCTTTTGTGCATGACTTATACTGCTTCTACTACCTATATTTGTGTCTTTTCTTCCCCAACTAGATAGAAAACTCCCAGATGGAAGGAACTGTGTCTTATTCATCACCCTAGCAACTAATACAGTATCTGAAATGAATAAATGAATGAATAAACTGGAATCAAGACATAAATGAATGAATGTGGGAACTGTGAGGGACTAAAACCAATGGAAAGTAGCCACAGGCAATTAAAATGCAATGGAAGAGAAAGGCATATATTGAAAAGGTTTGAAAGGAACAACTTTTTTTAATTGATGTCATAATAGTTTATAACATTGTGAGATTCCAGTTGTACATTATTATTTGTCAGTCACCATATAAATGTGCCCCTTCACCTCTTGTGCCCACACCTCAATTCTCTTCCCCCTGGTAACCACCAAACTGTTCTCTCTGTCTGTGTGTTAGTTTATATTTCACATATGAATGAAGTCATACAGTGTTTGTCTTTCTCTGTCTGGCTTGTTTCACTTAATGTAATACCCTCCAGGTCCATCTATGTTGTTGCAAATGGGACGATTTTGTCTTTTTTTATGGCTGAGTAGTATTCCATTGTATATATATATACCACATCATCTTTATCCAATCATCTGTCAATGCACACTTGGGTTGCTTCCACTTCTTGGCTATAGTGAATAATGATGCAATAAACATAGGGGTGCATAGCCTCTTTGGATTATTGATTGCAAGTTCTTTGGATAAATAACCAGAAGTGGGATAGCTGGATCATAAGGTAATTCTATTTTTAAGTTTTTGAGGACTCTCCATACTGTTTTCCATAGTGGCTGCACCAGTTTGCATTCCCACCAGCAGTGAATGAGGGTTCCCTTTTCTCCACATCCTCTCCAACATTTGTTATTTTTTGTCTTGCTGATTATAGCCATTCTCACAGTGTAAGATGATATCTTAGTGTAGTTTTGATTTGCGTTTCCCTGATGATTTGTGATGTTGAACATCTTTTCATGTGCTTATTGGCCATCTGTATATCTTCCTTGGAAAAATGTCTGTTCATAGCCTCTGCACATTTTTTGATTGAGTTGTTTGTTTTTTTGTTGTTCAGTTGTGTGAGTTCTTGATATATTACGAAGATTAACCTCTTGTGGGATATATGCTTTGCCAATACTTTCTCCCAGCTAGTGGGTTGTCTTTTCATTTTGATTCTCGTTTCATTTGCCTTGCAGAAGTTCTTTAGTCTGATGAAGTCCCACTTGTTTATTTAATCTTGTATTTCCCTTTTCCGTGTAGACATGGAATTCAAAAAGATCCCTCTATGACCAGTGTCCAAGAGTGTACTGCCTATACTTTCTTCCAGGAGTTTTATAGTTTCAGGTCTTCCTTTCAAGTCTTTGATCCATTTTGAGTTAATTTTTGTCTATGGCAAAAGATAATGGTCTACTTTCATTCTTTTGCACGTGGCTGTCCAGTTTTCCCAGCACCATTTATTGAAGAGACTTTCCTTTCTCCATTCTATGTTCTTAGCTTCTTTGTCAAAGAGTAGCTGTCCATATATGTGTGGTTTTATTTCTGGGCTTTCAATTCTGTTCCATTGATCTGTATGTCTGTTTTTGTATCAGTACCACGCTGTCTTTATTATTATAGCTTTGTAGTATATTTTGAAGTCAGGGATTGTGATGCCTCCAGCTTTGTTCTTTTTTCTCAGGATTGCTTTAGCTATTTGGGCTCTTTTGTTGCCCCATATGAATTTTACGATACTTTGTTCTATTTCCGTGAAGAATGTCATTGGGATTCTGATTGGGATTGCCTTGAATGTGTAGATTGCTTTAGGTAGCATGGACATTTTAACTATGTTTATTCTTCCAATCCATGTGCATGGGATATCTTTCCATTTCTTTATGTCATCATTGATTTCGTTCAATAATATCTTATAGTTTTCATTGTATAGACCTTTCACCTCCTTGGTTAAATTAATTCCTAGATATTTTATTCTTTTTGTTGCGATTGTAAATGGGATTGTTTTCTTGAGTTCTCTTTCTGTCAGTTCGTTATTAGAGTATAGAAATGCAACTGATTTTTATAAGTTGATTTTGTACCTTGCAACTTTGCTGTAGGTTTTGATTATTTCTAATAGTTTTCTGATGGGTTTTTTAGGATTTTCTACATATAAAATCATGTCGTCTGAAAACAGCGAGAGTTTCACTTCTTCATTGCCTATTTGGATTCCTTTTATTTCTTTTTCTTGCCTAATTGCTCTGGCCAGAACATCCAGTACTATGTTGAATAAGAGTGGCGAGAATGGGCACCCCTGTCTTGTTTAAAAGGAACAACTTTTAAGAAAAGCATATAAATAAAATAAATGAACAGAGTGTGTGTATGTATGTATATGTCCATGTTGACAGGATACATATCAAAGGTGTGGTTAGAACTGGATAGGATTAATTAGGATGATTGAAAGGATAACTCTCCCTCACCAGACTAAAGCCTGTTTGCAATGATGTGCAATTAAAGCTTCAGAAACCACGTTTATAAACACTTAGCACATCTCCTACAGTGCTCTGCCTGCCACTTGAGCTGTCAAATAGCACTTTACAGGCCAGGGAACTCTACTATTGCCCATGCTTCAAGTGAGTCAACTGAACTAGGAACATGTTTTCATTCTCTTGGACTCACACTTTCTCTTATAGAAACGGGAAAGAAAATTACTGTAATATTCACTTTGTACACTCTCTTCCTTGTTACTTCATTTACTTACACAGCATAGCTCTGTCCTCTGTGGGTCTTCAATTTCTATCTCCAGGCCTGATTTCTCTTGGAGCACCAGAGATGCATTTTCAATGCCCAATTCTGTTCTTGTCTTTAAATTCAAGACATGCAAAATGGATTTCATCTTCTTGTACCATTACTAGCTCTTCCTAAGAACTCCTATGTGTCTCGATTCTCCCACTTACTCTGGCACAGCCCTCAGCCTCCTACATTGCTGACAGTTAGTCCCCAGATGCTAACAACTGTTCCACTATAAAGGTTTCCAAGGTCTGTCCCTTCTTTTTAATCCAAACCCATGCTCTATCCGTTGAGTCCTGGTCTTGAATTCCTCAAAACTAGACAATTACAAGTCTCCTAATCAGTCTCTCTGCTGCCTTTCTCTTTTTCAACCTTTTCTGCTAGATTATTTTTCCAAATACACTACTCCGATCATATTTTCTTGCTTATAAAGCTTCGGTAACTCCTCACTGCAAACTATATGCAGTCCTGACAGTCCAGTCCCGACAGTCCAGTCCCTCAATGAGCTCACCCCAATCTTCTTTACAATCTTGTCTTTGATGCTCACCCACATCCCTGTCATCCTCCTCCTCTTCAATTATACTTATTTAATATTTAACTTAGGCCATCACTACTCAAAGGCACTATTCTCAGATCCTTACAACAGCCCTATGATTTAGGCACGACTAGTACCACTTTTTTACTCTATCTGAGGCAAAGGGAGGTTAAGAAACTGGCCCAACGTCACACAGCAAATGAAGGGCAATCCTGAACCCAGGCGATCTGGCTCTAGAATCTGTGCTCTTAAACACTATGCTATAGTCTACCAACTGTCTCTTGGACATGTCATGCCAGACCCTGCTTCTATGACCCTCAGCCAATGCAATATCCCTTTCTCCACTGCCACTCATAGTTTTCCCATTCTGTAAGGCTCACGGAAGTTCCATTTTCTTCCCCAGGATCCCTAACCATCCCAGCTAGAAGTGCTCTTTTGCTGCTCTTAACATCTATAACAACCCAGTATGTATAATTTATTTGCTGTTTATCAATATCCTGTAATATCTTTTCCTTCCTAAGTCAATGATAAACTCTTAAAAAACGAGGACAGAAGACTCTATGTGGCTCTGCTGCCTATTCTGTCGAGTTGTGACCCGTACCAACCTCAGGAGTCATAGGAA